ATAATAATTATCGCGATTTTCGATAAGAATCATAAAGAGATGGTGACATCAATTTGACAATGCAATATAATATTATTATAATAAAATAAACAATGCATGATATTTTTTTCTAAATAAAAGTTGAGAACCATCAGATTTAAAACTCTGTTGACAGGTGCYTTTCAAAAAGTGCAGGGGCAGCCCAAGTACCCTAAGCTGCCACCGTGAGACCGTTGCTTATGATAATGACTATACATAACTGCAGATGTACCGATACAAAATAATTAAAAGTACTTGTAATTTATATTATGTATTTATGTATTATAGTATTATACAGTTTGAATTTCTAAGGTGCAATGATATTCTACGTTACTACAGTTTCACAGAGCCAATTTTGGAAACTAATTTGTATATTCGTATGGCGTCTGCGTCACAAGAGTTAAAAGCGGATCATTTTCAACTTTTTCAGTGACCGCGGGAGTGAATAAAGTCGTCACATGTATCCTATTAGTTTGACCATATGATGAAGTCTTCGATAAAATACCGATCGAATAAGTGGAACCGGGCTTCAAGTCGTTTATCTGAAATGTTTAATACCATAAATAATAGTCATTACCGCCTATGGCTCTATGAATTTCAATATGTATTGCTCATATTTGTCGTACATTATTTACTCCGCAATCGATCGTGACTCTATAAAAAAATTTTAATTTTATATTTACTGTGTAATTATAAGATGGGAGTTCTTCTGTTATCGGAATCTCTGTGTCGGGTTTGCTGTCGCAGCATTTTTCGATGTCTTTAGATGAAATCTCTTCAGTGCTTACTATGAACGATTTCAGCACACCGTTAAATATCCATGGAATGTCCCATTCCACTGATATATACGTAGAGCCTACGTCTGTTGTCCTGAGATTTTCCGGTTTATCAGCAACTGTTAACATTTGTATTGAGCATATTATATTGTTGTTTAACTTTTTAAAGACCTGTAACTAAGTATTTTGTATTGTAATGTATACTTACATCCGTCATTAAAATTGCTGACGACTGATGCCGCCATACCGCCTGTAGGATAGTCTTCCGACTTGGCTTTTATCTGTATAAAATACACAATATTATGAAGTTTTATATTGTAGTTTATAAAAAACTTTAGTTCGATATTTGTTGAATAGTATTATACTTTTATGGTATATTGGTGGTTTGGTATAAGGCTTTCAAAGGTAGTGCAGTATAGTTTTGGCCAAGCAATGCATCTTTGGGGTTCTATAGTAATTTGCTTTGTGTTATTCATATTCTCGTCGATTGCGCTGATGATAAAACCGTTGAAGATGTTTTCATCAGGGAAACTCCATCTGATTCCAATTAATTTGCGTTTCAAGTTTTTCTTGTAAACTATTAATTCATCCACTGGTTCTAAAACTGAAATGTAATAAAAATAACGTATGATATAAAGTATGCACTAAAATACCCAGTGGCGTGTATGCATGACATCATAAGGGAAAGGAAATTGATGTCAAACTATTTGGGAAAATAATGTACAGTATCATTATTACATTTAGTTTTGGTTTTGAACGGTATCAACAATCCTTGTTCGGAGTTGTATCCATAATTCGTCAGTACGTATAATTGCAGTTCGTATTTGGTGTCGGGTTTTAATCCGTCGTAGTTCACCGTGTCTTGTTCAGTCGAGGTTTCTACTTGCGTGCTTTCAGCAATATCCTGTGTTATTTGATTTTTAAAATAAACTTAAAAATCTAAAAGACGATTTTATATAGGGTTGTGTGATTATGTATTTATGTGTCAATGTTTACATAGTTTAAATTAAAAAAAAAAAATCACAATAAGTCAAATGAATGCACTTTACTAACTCTAAGTATGACCTGGTATCCTCGAAAGAAACCATTTAATTTAGTACACTCTGTCTTGTTTATCCTCCAATTGAAGTATGCGCTTTGATTGGTGACAAATGAACCATTTGCATCGTTAATTACAGGTGTTAATTTCGKATCTATAAATAACAATCAGATATTATTAAAGATGTTGAATTGGTTTAATACTGACATTTTTGAAAACTACTTACTAGAAATAGGTGTTTTTACAAAAACTATATTAATGTAGTCGTTGTAAGTATGTCCTTCAATTATGGGGTCAACTTTTATAACATACTGTGTGTTTGGTATAATATCCCAAATTTCGCGTTTTGTTTGATTGTAAWYTAACAACGATGTCCATTTGTTTGTAAGGACTTCGTTTGAACAACTAAAATGTTTATTGACCTAAATACAGTTTTGAACATATTTTATATTTAAATGGTATCATATTGTTGTTGATATTATAAATTTAACGCCTGCCTCTTTTCATGTTATTAAATAATTAAATATTATATTATGAACTTCATACCTTGTATTTGATTACATAATTCAACGGCGTATTTACATATTTTTCATCAACATCCCACGTTATTAACAGTGAAGAACTCTGATTTATTTTTGCTTTTATATTTTTTATTTGGACAAATCCTACAAGATTAGTTATCAAAAATTAATGGGTTTTTTTTACGATAAATAAACATTTTAGTAAAAATTATATTTTTTCAAATGCTGTATGTACAATACCATATAGTTCAGTGTAAATATATGATATTTGTGATGGTGTAGCTTGACCCGTAGCCCATATTGCTGTTACTTGAACTGCATATTTTTCACCAGATAGTAGATTTTCAAAAATATGTCCATTATTATTATTAGATTTTACTTCTTCTGAATAACTTTTTTGCTGTGTATCGGTGTTATTAAACATCAGTTTTAACAGGTATTCAGTTATTTTACAGTCCTTTTCATTTTGATTGTTAATCTATACATGGAATAATAAACATTAGAATTAATTATATATTATATTTATTTTATTTTAAAAGCGACAATGAATAAACATTAATAAGCTTAATTTAACGGACTGAAGTCCTTTACAAAGTATAACCAAAAATAAATTAAGCCAAAAGGATTATTTCGAACTTAAATACAAAATTATTATACCCAATTTTTGTTCGTTGTTTACCTTATTCCAAGTAACATTTATGTAGTTTGTTCCACTCAATAAATTGACATCATAATTAATATTTCTTGGAACTTTATAATAAAAAAAATAGTATTATTTTATTACAATGTGTTTTATACTGTTATAAATAATTTAATTGTATATAAGTTAATGAGTTTTGTGTATACTTAGGCACTTCGTCGAGTAATTGGCTATTTTAATATCTTCTATATTGTAATTTCCGTCTTCTGATACTAAAATCACGCCGAAAGAGTACGATATTCCCGATTTGAGTTTGCTTATGGTTTCTATTTTGGGTTCTCGTTGTAGTAGTTCTTTTATTTCCAAGTATTGAAATTCTGATTCATTTAAAGTGGCCTTAAATATATATAAATATTATAGATGCATCTAAATGAGAAGCGTTCCAAATATATGAATATATAACCTCTTTCCCCTTTATAAGTATTCGTATTTTGTTAAATTATTGTTAGTTAAGATAATTAAAATATTTATTGAATTTTTWTTCTATATACCAACTGCTATACTTATTACCATAGAATTTATCACAACCCTTATCAGGCTTATCCTAACTTTTTAGTTAGTTTGACTGGTTTTTTGAACATCGAAAATTCGAAAATAGATTATGTTAATTTTTTTATATGGTTATAGTGACTTATATTAAAATGACGCCACACTAGCATGAAGTTTCTCCGTCTAACAAACGTAGAACATAGCGAAAACTATACTTACGCGGACAACCGTTCTCCCTCAGTATTTATAGTAGAATTATCAGAATTTCACAACGGATAGGTAAGAATAGTGTCACAGCGTCGTTATTTTTTGGTAACATAAATATAATTAAAGTTATAATGCTCAAGCATAAAATATTATATTTCTACTATAAATTCTGTGGGAGAGCAGTTGTCCCGTGCAAGTACAGTTTTTGCTGTGTTCTACGTTTGTAAGACGGAAGCTACGTATTCGGGTGTGGTTTCCTCTTAACTACGAAGTTTTGAAACATTTTAGTTTATACTTATTTTTTATTTAATGAGTATATTTGTAGGCGCTCATTATGTATACTGTATACGCTCTACAGACAAGTTTGTAATAGTATTTCCATAATATWGGTATGTAATATGTATTGTTAAACGATATTTACCTTAAATATGATTTGGTAATAGAGAGAGTTGACCTTGCTACTGCCTTCTATATTTTCTGAATTAAAATCAATTTTCAATTTTATTGAATTAAAATCAGAGGATTCCAGTTCTGGCGGTGATATCAGCCACGGATACTCTAATCGCAAAACAAATTATACCACATCATTTTTTTCTTTAACAATAACACTGCATAAGTTTAATGATTTATAGCTTTACTTTCTTTGCAATCTGGAGCAATGTAATTTTCCGTACATCCTTTGTCGCAAACACCAGTGTAACCGTCACATGACTTCGATATACATCTCTCTGAACATTGTTGTTCGCAATTTACGCCATACGTACCATTTTTACATTCTGCTCGTAAAAAATTCATTGGTCAAAATGCTTATAGGTGCGTAGTCATAATAATACAGTTAATATTTTATCAATATATCTCGCATTTATTGTGCATTAAATAATAAAATAAAATATCTAATTTAGGTATACAAACGTTTATAGATGTCAGACTATAGAATACACCGGAGGTAAAATCTATTTAAAAATATTGTAGAATATGTGTAGTTAAGTGAATATACTCCCTATATTTTCAATACATATAGGCGCGTAGGAACCAAAATTTTTTTGTTTTTGAACACTTTAATTTGCTTAAAAATTATAGGTGAAGTTGAAAATGAAATACCTTTTATATAGATCCGAAATATTTAATAATATTTTGTTGGGTGATATTATGTATGTATCGTGTGAATGCGGTCTTTACTTTTATTAACGCGTAGGTATATATTGTATTCAAATCATTATAATTAATTATATACATTGCGCTTACTATACCTGTGGTGCAATTGTCTCCTGTATATCCTGCCGGACACTTGCATCC